ATTCTAAACTTAATAAACACCAAATAAAACAAGCATTTCCATATACGTTGTAGAAGAAAAGATTATACATGAAACTGAATGTCCATAATGTGGAGCTTGTTTTTCTTTTTATGTATGTAGTAAATTCAACATATAATGTTCAAAGCTGTCTTGCTTGTCTGTAATTCCTCCTCTTGTTCTCTTCTTGTTTTGGAGATAGAGGGAAACAGATGCTATACTTCTCCCTCCTCTCCCTTTTATCTCCCCTGTCCACATAGTTGAGGAGGGGAAAGGAAAAACAAAACCTTGTAATAAAAACATGCATATTCAAGTAAAACAAATCCCCATCAGTCAAGTCTCATTCTGCATCTTGAGTCCATCACCTCTTCTCAGGAGGTAGGTAGCATGCTTCAGTATTGGTATTCTGTAATAGTGCTTAATCATTTCATTAACCATAGTCCTCAAGTCTTTCAAAGTTGTTTTTCTTTACACCATTGTTATTATAAAAATCATTCTCCTAGATTTGCTCACTTCATTTTGCATCACTTCATACAAATCTTTCTAGGTTTCTTTGAAACTTTGCCTTTTGTCATCCCTTATGGAGCAATAATATTCCATTATATTCATATGCCATAATTTGTTCAGCTATTCCTCAGCTGATGAATCCTCCCTTAGTTTCTAGATTTTTGTTATAATGAAAAGTATTTCTGACATCCTATGAGCCTACATTCTGAAATATTTCTATGGGAGTAAGACTAATAGTATGAAACAAAATCCTCTGTAAGTTTACTTTCGAGGGAGACAGTTCTCCAAGAGTGAGCAAGTAGTTATGGGCACATCATCTAGGGGAAGTCACTTATCTCCAAAACAAGTGGAAAGTTTCTTTAGTGCAAATAATGCATGTTCTGTTTCTTTTGGCTCTCCATAGTGCCTGGTGCCTAGGGGTGCATAATAATCAGTCAACCAATAAACATTTATTAAGTGGCTACTATATGCTGGGCACTGTGCTAAGCACCAGAGATATTAATAGAGGCAAAAGACAATTCCTGTCCTACAGAAGCTTACAATCTGTTCAGAGAGACAATATGCAATATAATCAGTTGCCAAATCTTATCATTTCCATCTCCACATCTTTCACAGCCATCATCTTCTCTCTACTCATATAACTCCTGGATGAGGAAATGCCCTATACTAATGCATTCTGTGCAACCTATAGTCTTAGAGAGTTGCCTAGGGCAATGAGAGTTTAAATGATTTGCTGAGGCACATACTGTTAATGCTGTCAGAGGTGGGATTTGAACGCAGGGCTCCACACTCCCAAGCTAGTTTGCTATCTATTTTCCAAACTGCCTCTCCACATTTATATAGAACTATTATTACTATCTCCATTTCATAAATGAGGAAACAGGCTCATAATGGCTAGGTGATTTGCTCAGGGCACACAACTAGTAAGTGTGTGAAATTTGAACCCAGGTTTTTTAGATTCTGAATTCAGTGCCCTGCTATATAAAATCATAGATTTAGAGTTCTGAGGTTACATTGGATACCTTCTAACCCAATTCTCTCCTTTTACAGATAATGAAATAAAGGTGCAGAGCAAGTTAGGTGACATGCCCAAGGTCACATAGGTAACAAATGTCAAAGCTCAGATTTGCACCCAGGTCTTCTGACCCCAGACCTATTGTTTTCCCCACTGCACCATATGGTTTCCCATATAGCATATCAGAGGAATGTTGGCATTAAAAAATTTCCCCCATTGCTGTTTTAGAGCAACAAAACCTAGAAAGTGTTGATTTTAGAGAAATTGAAACCATAGGTGATTCAAAGGGCATGTGGGTGTAAGTAGTCTATTGTATATTATCAAGAATGAATTGAGCTTTAGATGTGGCATAATTGATTGGCACTAATCAGCAAAGACACATATGACCAGAAAAGGGGGTGGGCTAGGCATGTAGGATGAAGTATGACCCATAGGTAGTCAGAGGGCAGTACTGGTATCCCTAATATATTGGAAGTGCCAACTAGCCAATAAGTCCATCAACAAGCATTTATGAAGCACCTACTGTGCGCTAAGAATTGTGCTGGGAAATACAAACATAAAAATGATACAGTCCCTGCCCTCAAAAAGCTTACATTCTATCATGCTATAGTGAAGGAGTCAGCAAACTATGACCCAAGGTCCAAATGTAACTTGCTGTCTGCTTCTGAATGGTCCTGAAGCTAAAAATGGTTTTTATGTCAAAAAGCACAATTTGGAGTACAATTTGGAACTATGCCCAAAGAGTAATAAAACTGTGCATACCTTTTGATCAGCAATAGCACTATTAGCTCTGCACCGCAAAGAGATCAAAGAAAACAAGGAGAAGAACCTATATGTATAAAAATATTCATAGCAGTCTTTTTTGTGGTGGCAAAGAATTAGAAATTGAGGGAATGCCCATCAATTGGGCAATGGCTGAACAAGTTGTGATGCAATACTATTGTGCTATAAGAAAGAATGCTTTCAGAAAAACCTGGAGAGACTTACATGAACTGATGCAGAATGAAGTGAACAGAATCAGGAGACATTGTATACGATAATAGCAATATTGTGTGATGATCAGTTGTGAATGAGTTATTCTCAGCAATACAATGATCTTAAAACAACTTCGAGGGACTCATCATGAAAAATGCTATCCACCTCCAGAGAAAGAACTGATGGAGTCTGAATACAGATTGAAGCATACTTTTTTTTTTACTTTTGTTTTTTGGTTTTTAATATTTTTGGTCTGTGTTTTCTTCACAACATGAGTAATATGGGAATATGTTTTGCATGACTACATATACAACCTATATCAAATGGCTTGCCTCTTATGGAGAGGAGAAGGGAGAGAGAGAATTTGGAACTCAATTTTTTTTTAAATGTTAAATTTTTTGTAACTGGAACAAAAATAAAAACTTTTAAAAGAAAGAATTAGAAGTGAAAAGGAATTGAATTCCAGGAATAGGGGACAACCAGTGCAAAGGCATTGAAATGGGAAATCAATGTCATGAGGAACAGCAAGAAGGCCAGTCTGCTTGGACTACAGAATATAGAAAGGGTAGTTACATATACATATATCATAACATATAACAAGGTAAGGTAAGCTGGGGCCAAGTTGTGAATAGCTTTAAATGCCAACCTGCTAAGTTTATATTTGATCCTAAAGGCAATAGGGAGCCATTGGAAATTATTTAATAGGGAAGTGACTTAATTAGAGCTACACTTTAGGCAAATGACAAGCTGCTTCAGGGACAATGGATTGGAAAGGGGAGAAACTTGAAGCAGGAAGACCAATTAAGGAGCTATTGACATAGTCTAAGTGAAGGGGGCCTGAACTGTTTCTTGGGAGTAGAGATTATTTCACTCTTTGTATTCATATTCTTAGTGCTTGGTACATAATAAGAGCTTAATAAATGCTTGTTGATCGATCATATGAGTGGAGAGAAGGTGATGGATATGAAAGATGTTGAGGAGATAGAAATGACAAGTTTTAGCAACTGATTACGTGTATGAGATGTCAAGGATAATGCCAAAGTTATAACCCTGGGTAATGAACTGAAAGGGCGATAGAACCTTGTTAGATTATCACAGTGCCTGACACATAATAGGCACCTGATAAACATTTATTGACTCTTTGCTCTTGACTACAGAAATAAGAAAGTTCAGAAGAGGGTAGGTTTTTGAGGAGAGATAATGGGTTAGCTCTATTTTGTCTGTGGGTCATACATCAATATGAAATATCAAGTAGGCAGTTGAAGATACATGTTAAAGATCAGAAAAGGGATGAGATCAAAAGACCTGATGTGGCAGTCATCCACTGGGAGGTGATAATTAAATCCAAGAGGGAGCTGATGAGGTTAATAAGTGAGAGTAGTAACTAGAAAGAAAAAAAAGTTCCCAGGATAGAGCCTTGGAGTAAGCCTGCTGTTAGGTAGCATTATCGGGATGATTAACCAGCAAAGCAGAATAAGTTTGGGAGTTCCTGTGTCCTCTGTCACTGGCTGGCTCAGCTGTCAGTTAGCATTAGGCCTATCAGAGGGGGATAACAACCAATTAAAATGGTTAATTGGGGGCCCTAATGCCAAGTGTAGCTAATGATATTGGTACATGTCCATATGCCCATAACTATTTCTAGGGCACCATCAATACAAAATTCCAATAAGGCACTGCCAGGGACTATAATTCTGAAGTTACCAAAGTCATTCAATTAGTCGTCAACAAATATTTTTAAGGAATCTACTATGTGCGAGGCACTGTGCTAAGCTCTGGGGATACAAAGAAAGACAAAAATAGTCCCTGCCCTCAAGGAGCTCACATTCTAATGGGGGAGACACCATGTAGACAATTATGTACAAACAAGATGTATAGAGGATAAATTGTAGACAATCTCAGAGGGAAGGCATTAATTAGCATTAAAGGGGATCAGGAAAGACTTCTTGCAGAAGATGGGGTTTTAACTAAGACTTGAAGGAAGTTAGTCAAGAAAGGAGACCTTGAGAATGGGAGTCAGAGATTGGGGCCTTTTGTATCTCCAGAGCAAGATGAAATACATCTTCTGGTATAAACTGGTGTCCTCATAGGCACATCAGATTAGAAATCCAGGCAGCCCTTTGGTTGGTTCTCCCTACGTAGATGGAAAGGCTTTTCTTACAGCCCTTTTTGGGAGCTCATAAGGTCAATCAGCTTCATGAATTTTAGGGGATCATAGGATTTAGATCTAGAAGGGCCTTGGAGATAATCTAGTCCAGGGGTTCTTAATATGGGGTCCAGAGATACCCAGATTTCAAGGGGTATATGACTTTGGGTGGAAAAAAATTACCTCTTTATTTTCATTAATCTCTAACTGAAATTTGGCATTTCTTTTAATTATTTAAAAACAGGTCCATATACTTTGTTATTGTTGCTCAGTCATCTCTAACTCTTTGTGATCTCATTTAGGGTTTTCTTGGCAGAGAAACTGGAATGGTTTGCCATTATCTTCTCCAACTCATCTTTATAGGGCAGGAACGGAGGCAAACAGGATGAAGTGATTTGCCCAGGGTCAAACAGCTTGTCCGAGGCCATATTTGAACTCTAGTCTTCTTGACTCCAGGCCTGATGATTTTTCCACAGCACCACCTAGTTGGCCACGTATTTTGGCAGAGTACTAAAGAGTTCCACAACACAAAAAAAGGTAAGGTTAAAAACCCTGGCTCTAGTTTAATCAGTCATTTTTTCAGAGGAAGAAATTGAGGTCCAGAGACTTACTCAACTTCTCTAAGATCACACAAACTAGTAAGTGGCAGAGATGGCATTTGAACCCATCTCCAGACTCCAGATTGAGTGTCCTTTCTACTCCCCTCTGCTACTCAATATGGTGATGTGGGTAAAGAGCCAATAGTGGTGGTAGATCATCTGTATCCGGTGTGCTTAAAGATTGGGAGCAACAGTTTAGACATTGACTTGTGCAACATGGAATGAGGAGAAGTGAGAAGGATGAAGTGATGAAGGTCAAGGGTCCTCAGTCCAAGGAGCATGACTGTCTCTGGAAAAGTCATTGAGTTGGAGCATCTGCTCCCTCTGCTGGTCAATTTTGGTTTAAGATGTGTATTGGGACACCTTCTGGGTAGCCTCTGTTTTCTGCAAACGGAGAGGAAGCATAAAAATCATAGACGCTCAGAGCTGGAAGTTGTTGGTGGGCTTTGGCTCAGCCTTATGAATCCAAACTTTACTATCTGTTGTTCTGCTCCTCATAGTGAGATTGGTGATGTGGGTAAGGAGCTCCCTGCCCTAGGGAGCATCCAGACCTTCTGGGCTGGGAATATGCTTGGTTGAGGGCCAGCCCATCAGAAGGACTGTCTTCCCTGCTTCAGGCTGGCATCCCTTACTCTTAAGCCAGAGCTGAGACACCCCATGAGGCTCAGCCTCGTGGCTGCCATGCTCCTGGGGCTGTGGTCAGGAAGTCACCCTTTCCATTTGCCCAGAACTGACTGCCAGAGGGTTGGGTAAACTGGTGATTGGCAGAGCTCCTGCTGGAAAGTCTTACCAAGGAGAGGAGAGCTTGGCCTATTTTTAACACTGGGTGCCCTGTATAAGAGACAGCTGGAAACCAGCAGTGACCCTAAGACTACTAGTGCATTCCCTCCTCTCACTGTCCCATTGCATGGAGGAGGCAGGAAAGGGGAAGATATCTGCCATCCCCACCACCCATGCCCCTCCTCCCAGCAGAAGTTCATGGAAGGCCAAGGAGAGAACAGGAACAGAACAGGACCAAGAGCAATTGACGAAGGCAGGCAGATTTCAGTTTGATGAGATGAAAAACTTCCCCCCAAGTTAAAACTGCCCCAGAGTAGAATATATTGCTTGGAGAAGCAGTGACTTCCAGCTGAACGAAGCTTGTAATTCCTATTATTGGGGAGGCTGAGGATGTATTGATTTAGTTTGGGAGTTCTGAGCTGCAGTATCTGGTGTCTGACATAAGTCTGGCATCAATATGGTGAGTCCCTGCCACAGGAGAGGAAAACTGGCCTAGTTTGGAAAAACAACAGCTTAAAGTTCCTGAGCAGATCAGCAATGGTATGAGGCCTAGGACTGACTGTTGAACCTCCAAGTCTCAACTACCTCCTTTTATAATTGATGAAACTGAGGCCTCTAGACTTGCCCAAGGTCACAGGGCAAACTTAGACAGACCACTTCCGAAGGGAGAAGGTTCTATGGCTTCCCCTGTGTCACCCTTTGCAGTAAAGAAGATCACAAGTGCTTTCTCGTCAGTCTTTAGCCTCTCTTTACTAAAATTCTCAGCTGGACCTTCCTATTGGGAAGTATCCAAGGACCATAGATTGAGAGGCATTGCCTCAGTCAGACTGAGATCTGGGAAAGACTTTGGCTTAAAAAGGCCAAGGTCTCCCACTGCATGAGGGTAGTCTCCAATAGTCCTGATCCATATGTTGCCACTGGATCCAGATGGCTCCAGAGGAGAAAGTGAAGCTGGTGACCTTGCACAGCCTTCCCTCACTTAAATCCAATTCACTTGCATGGCATCACCTCCCTGGCATCTGGGTCTTCTTCCAGAACAAAGTACTAACAACAACAGAAGAGACTGGAAAGCTTATCTAGTAGAGTGACTTGCTTGAAGGCAGACGGTCAGTGTGTGACTTAGACAAGATTTGAGCTCCAGATTGAACTTTCCCCTGCACTATGCTGTGGGTCCCAATCCCTGTGTGTTTATGTTGGAATTTAGGAGCAAATACAACATGAAGTGGAGTATTATTCTGCTGTACTCCAAATTGACTCTCTCTAGACTCATGATTCATTTAGTATGGTTCAGATAATTTGTTCTGTCCAATATTATCTACTGACCTACTGACTGGAGGGGCAGCTAGATGGCACAGTGGATAGGGCCTGGAGTTAGGAAGGCTCATCCTTCTGAGTTAAAATCTGGCTTCAGACACTTACTAGCTGGGTGACCCTGGGCAAGTCACTTGACCCTGTTTGTCTTAGTTTTCTCATCGGTTAAATGAGCTGAAGCAGGAAATGGCTCCAGTATCTTTGTTAAGAAAACCCCAAAAGAGGTTATGAAGAGTTGGAGATGACTGAACAACAACACTGCCTGAAGACATATGCCTTTCTCTCCTCTCCTCTCCTCTCCTCTCCTCTCCTCTCCTCTCCTCTCCTCTCCTCTCCTCTCCTCTCCTCTCCTCTCCTCTCCTCTCCTCTCCTCTCCTCTCCTCTCCTCTCCTCTCCTCTCCTCTCCTCTCCTCTCCTCTCCTCTCCTCTCCTCTCCTCTCCTCTCCTCTCCTCTCCTCTCCTCTCCTCTCCTCTCCTCTCCTCTCCTCTCCTCTCCTCTCTCTCTCTCTCCTCTCCTCTCCTCTCCTCTCCTCTCCTCCTCTCTCTCCTCTCCTCTCCTCTCCTCTCCTCTCTCCTTTTCTCTCCTCTCCCCTCCCCTCCCCTCCCTCCCCTCCTCCCTCCCCTCCCCTCCCCTCCCTCCCTCCCTCCCCTCCTCCTCTCCTCTCCTCTCCCCTCCTCTCCTCTCCTCTCCTCTCCCCTTCTCTCCTCTCCTCTTTTCTCTTCTTTTCCTTACTGTTTTTTTAAAAATAAGTTTTTATTACCTCATCATAGTTTCCCCATGTATCCCTCCTTCTCCCCCTCCCCAAAAGCCATCCTATATGACAAATAGGAATAACAACAAGAACAGCATTGCAAAACTGTGAAAAGATGAGATGTGCAGCATCTTTGGACTTCCTGCCTCCACATGCCTTCTCATATCTCTTCATTTAAGTCTTGTTTGAATTTTGTATTTTGTCACATTCACTTTTGTTTTTTGGTATGTCATTCTTCCATTTACATTATTGTGGTCACAGTGTACATGGTTTTCTTGGCTCTGCTTACTTCACTTTGTATCAGTTCATATAGTTTTTTTCCATGCTTATCTGTATTCATCACACACATCATTTCTTACGGCACAGTAACATTCAGCCACGTTCATGAACCACAATTTATTTAGCCATCCCCCAGTTGATAGAGACCTGCAGGGATGATTTTTCATTTTGGCTTTGTATCTTTTGTACCTTGGACATAATAGGTGCTTAATAAATGCTTTGAAAACTTGTTTAATGAATGAATCTTGTCTAAATAATGGTCTATTTCTAGGGGTGTGCTGGTAAATGTTAGTTAACTCCAGAAAAAAAGTGTGGATATACTTTTTAGTTTAATCTTGATTGTAAACATTTTCTTCGCTTAAGTCTAAACAATCATCAAAATGACAAATCAAGCCTTGATTTGTTTGCTGGTATCTGAAGTTCAGATGCTCACACTCTAGATTTAATAATCAGCTCACAGAACAGTTCCGGCTCCCTCCAGCACACCCCCATGGGGTATTTCTAACACTGGGACAGAGTCGTAATATGTAGCCCATCCACTTAAGCTCATTTATTCTTTTGTAATGTCTCTTGAGGTATCCTTTCCTCTCCCATCCTATTGTCACTGTGTAATATGGATTCTACTGTCCTAGAATATGGACTAATTGATCTCCCTGCCTCCTGCTTTTCCGTCCTTTGATTCATCTCACGTACTGTTGTCAGATTAACATTCCTAAAGCACCACTTCATCATGTCACTGTTTTTCTTAAGAACCTTCAAGGGCATCTCATTTATTGACTACTGGGTAATATTCAAATTCCTCATCCTGGTTACTTTAACCCTAACTTGTCACCTTCAGCAGCCTCTTGATAGGCCTCCCTGACTCCAGTGTCTCTGTTCTCCCACCTGTCTTCTACACAGATGCCAAATTGGTAATCCTAAAGAACAGGGCTGATCATGTCATTCCCTTTCTCAAGAAGGGCCAGTGGTTGCCTATTGCCTGTAGGATAAAATCCCAGTCCCCCTGTTTCTCATTTAAAGCTTCACAGTCTAGTTCCAATCTGTGTTTCCAAACTTATTTCATGTTACTCTCCCTTACACATTCTTTGTTATAGTCATATTAGTCTACTTAATGTTCCCTATACCTGACAGTCCATTTCCCACCTCCAAACCTTTGCATGAGCTGTCTCTTCCCTAGAAATCCATACCTGGAATGCTCTTTCTGTATGTCCTTCCCTCTAGAAACTTGTATCACTGCCTATAAGGCATTTTCCCCTGATTCTCTCGTTTATTAAGGCTCTCCCTTCCCCTCCCCTAGAAATTGCTACACAGTTATTTTGCATTTATTCATTTGTGTACCTGATGTCTTTCCTAATAAAATGTAACCTCTTGAAGACAGAAACTGTTTTGTTTTGTATTCTTGGCACCTTGCAAGATATCTGAACTGTTGGCACTTAAATGCTTGCCAGACTGAGTTTTTAACTTTTTCTGAGACTCTGTTCCAGCCAGACTGGTCCACTGGCCCTACAACAAACACACCTTATTTGTTTCTGTGTTCTGTGTCATGGTTGACATCACTCTCCCCCTCTCCCTGATCTGGGATGTCTTTCCTGTACTCCAGTTGCCCAAACCTTACCCATCCTTCAAGGTTTTCCCCAAGTTACATCTCTTCCGTGTCTTAGTAACTAACCACATTGT